AAAATGGTATGGATGAACTTTCGTGCATATAATACTATAATATTATTTTAAGCGTAGCAACAAAACTGGTGTTAATACGTATAACGATATGAAATTATCTAACGATTGAAAAAAGTTTCAATAAATAATAAACGAGAGGGAATTTTTTTTAAGAATGTCATATATCCAACTATTAACACAGTTCTAATTACTTAACGATTTTCAAGAACATTTTTTGATGGATAGATATATATATTTTTTTTTTGCTTGAATAATTTCAAAGTGAAATGAAATTTTCTAATTTGATTTCTTTGATGACATTTCAATAATTATTAGATTTATACTTGGGATTATTTACCTGAAATTCTAAAAACGATGCTTCCTCAACCGTATACATATTTAATTAAAAACTTTAATCAATTACCATCTTATCGGACAGTTGAAAGCTTTGAGATACCTCAAATTGAACTGGATGCATTTGTTAACATAATATTAACAGCAATGTGGATGCTACATGTATTAAAAGTGGTGCTATAATACGTGTTCAGGTAGAATCTGTCAAACGTCGTAAACTGGAAGGGTCTAGTAGAGTAAGAAAGTCGGGTACTAATGTAAATAGAATGAAAGAAAATGTTGATTCTCAAACTATTCCGTCCTGAAAAAAACAAAAAGTTAATAAAAAAGAACATAATTTGGTGGGAACGTTGCAAAAAATCAATTGAATTGAATTATATTAGTTAAAAATATTGTAGCTGAATTTATTTTTAACTTGTGCATATTTTTATATTCTTGCTAAACTTGTGAAATTAAATTTGCGCAACTTTTTTTAATTATCCAACTTAATAATTTCGATCGCATTAATAAATCACGCGTTAGGTGTGGCTGACTGCGCCACTAACCTGGCACACATTCAAGACGTGCTACACCCATGCAATATGACGTATGTTGAAAGTATAGCACCCAGTGTTTAAAACTGGCTTGCACAAGATGCACATGTGCAAGAGTTCTTTTTAGATTTTTTTAGATTTTGAAAAATCTCGAGTGTGCGAGTGAAATTTTAAAAAAGGTGCACAAAATACATTTGTGCAAGTGTTTTTAACACTGATAACACTATAACTCGAACTTCGATAATGTTCATGTTATTTTGACTTGCAAAAATATATCAAAATCAGAATCACATTATCTCTTTTCAAATTATCATCATTCAGAAATCTGCAAAATTATCAAATTTTATCTCTTTTTTGCGAATATTTTCTACTAGTCATAAAGAATAATAATTTACAAGACAGCTTCTATCGATATAAACTATCTACATTCAATTATAAGTTATAAAATTTTACTTGAACTTTCGAAATAATCCTAAAAAATTGAAACTGACCATGTTGATATTAAGAAATCTTCGCTCAACATTTGTTACAATTAGAAATTGATAATCTTGGGTATAAAATTAAATGTCGTTTTAGCCAATTACAGGTTTATATTTTAATATTAAATTCTAAATTTCCAATTTCCAGATTATACGTGATGTATGATGTATGAACAAACTAAAAATTTTGGGAATAATTCCAATAAATATCAATATAAATAATTATGTAACGATCGACGTTACAGTTGTGCTACATTAGCCAATCAAAAGGACTTTCCATCATGCTGTCAGCTAGTACATGTTATGATTATTATATAATCCAACACCATTTTTTATTATAAAAAAACGATGTTGGATTATAATCATAACATGTACTAACTAACTAATCAAGAATTGTAAAATAATTTTTTTATGTGTTTCACACCGTGTGTAAAATCAGTTGAATAGCATCAACGGTTCCTCTGTTGTAGATTATCTCCAATTTGTATTAGTGTAGATTACTGGTTCCCTCGTAAATCACGAATTAATATCTGGATGTTTATGTTGCTAAAGTTGATTGATTACGTGCTGATTAAAATTTACATTTTGCATTTTGAGCAGAAATCGACCCATATGGAATTTCGTCTGCCCATTGTCTGGACTTGTTCCTCCGCTCTGCTCCGGAAATTTTTTTTGATTTACCACTTATCACACTTCCCTTATCAACTTCCTTCAATAATGATTACCTCACTTAACTCGCTGCAATTACAATTTCGTATATTGTTTATGCTTAAAACGATAGTAACATTTGATAAAAAAACAAAGCAGATCAAATTTAAAGACACAAATTTGAGTGTCCCTTTAATATGAGACACCCACATATACGGGAAGGAATTATTTTCGTATGAAATTTTCTTTACATCTCATTTGGACACTTGCGATTCATAAAGCATGAAGATTAGCTAATTCTAATATTGTTACATCTTAAATTTATCTTAATATCGTCATTAATTTTTCTTTTTATTTTGAGCACTAACCATTTAAAGCCTTACTAAATATATCCTGCAAAGACTTATTATCAAAAAACATCTTATTAGGGTCGTATTTTGCACGTATTTTCTCAAATTGTTTAATTTCATTCAATAAAACCTCTGAAAGATAAGTTCTCACATTCGGAATATATTCCCATTCCTTAGTCCAATGAGGTCTATAATAAATAAATTTAAGTAATTAGTGAATTAATGCAATTTGTTGCAAAGAAAAAAATATTCCTTACTTTGCTTTGTACTTATCAAAAAGTCTCAGTGCTATTAATTGCACAAATTCTTCCCAGTAAGGAGTACCAGCAGCTGTTACAAGATCTATATGACAGTATAATACCTCTGGATCCTTATTGAATGTATTAGATAATAAAGCTTCAGTTGATTTTATGAATCTAAACTCTACAAAATAATTTATTGGAAATTTTCCTTTTTCTGCAAAGTCACGTAGCTACAAATATAATAGAATTATTCCAAAGATCAACAAAGTTATTAGGAACTGAATTAATGGATAAAGTAATAAACTCACTAATTTAGTTATGTAAAGATATTCAGTAACAACATTGGAAAAATCTGGAGAAACTTTGAATGCACTTTCCATTGCTTCAAACTTGATGCTTTCTTCGCCAATCAAGAAATGGATAACTTCAGGAACCTGATATACAAAACTAGTATTACCACTACTAGCAGTAAAATCACTCCATAACGTGGCAGTAATATTTGGAGTTGCCTTAGGATTTTGTATGAGACTATTTCTGAGCTTATACTGTATGATAGCATCCTGTCTTTGATTTTCCTGTGATTGTTCAAGTTGTTGTTGTGTGAAGCTCACAGGTTCATCAGTCCGTACCCAGTTCTTAACCCAAATTTGATCTCTATTAGGGTCAAGAGAATTCGGATCACTCGGATTGAATCCATTAAATGGGAAATAAAGCAACATAGCACCTTCAGATGATTCTAAGAGGTTTTTGACATTCTTTGGATTAAGCCATTCGTTTATTGGAATAAAGACGTCATTCATACGAAATTGTACATCAGTTGTACACGGAAAGTCACCGAATAAATTATACCAAGTAAACCTAATAATAATAAAGTTAGATACTGAAGAAAAAAAAGTAAATACGGTAATCAAAAAGTAAAATCTTAATTACCTAGATTGACTTTTGCAGCATTAAATTCTGATTCGCTTATTTCTTCGCTAAATTCACTTACTTCGCCAGAGCCGGTGACGATTTTCATCGAGCAAAGTTGATCTGAAATAATACCTGAACTGGTCTTTCCACCATGTGCTCCTGTTGCTACAACACCAGATACTCTAAGTGTGTTATATTCAGTAGCTGAATCAATTGTCAATGGTGGGTCGTGATTTCTGAGTGCATTCTCAAAATCAGACAACGATGTGCCTATTTTTAATTAAAATAACGATTAATTTTATATGTCATCTTTATCATGAATGAATATATGCTTATAAAAATTTACCAGCTTCAGCAGTAGCAGTCCAGCCATATTTTGGATGTTTTTGCACTGTGACTTTATTCAAATTTGTAACTACTACCAAATAATTCTCTGTGTCAGAAAGAGAACTCATGAGATGCCCTTGAGCAACACATCGAATAGTTTTATTGGTAATCGTTGCTAGTTTTACAATATCTATAAGGTCTTCAAGTGTAGACGGTTCAAAAATGGCTTTTGGAAAAATACGAATTTTTCCAATGATACTTTCCCATGTTTTATTTTTGATTGGTACTGCAGAGCGAAATACGAGACCTTTATTACTGTTCACCTCAACGGCCTTAAAACCGTCGAAATTAACAAGATAGGTAAGAAAATATGGTTCATTTTCATTTTTATTATATGAAGAATTCGAATAGGAAGGACTGAATAATATATTTACTTGTCATGCAGAGAGGTTTATATATAATCTAATGGTCTGCAAATTTAAGTTTTAAGGACAAAATTTATTATTTATTTTTTTAAGATTGTACACCCTAAAAATTATTAGCATTCCGATCTATTTTCCCATATGAGTGCTGCAAAGGGAAAAGGGATACTTTGATCTATCGGTATATCATGTCTTTCTGATCGGGCTTTCAATTTTATAGTATAATTCACATAGCGGCTATGTACTTGCCTTATAAAATTGAAAGCCCGATCAGTAAGACATGATATACCGATAGATCAAAGTATCCCTTGGTAGCACTCATATGTTTAACCCATTTTTCCCATTAGCGCAACCCATTTTAAATATTTAATAATTTGCAATGACCATCAGTATCATTGACAGTTTTTATAGATAACAGAAAATTTAAAAAGTATATCATCGTTTGATCAGAATACGTAATAACATTACATATACAGTAATCGATTAGTTGGTTAATCGATTAAGTTGGTTAATCGATTAGTTGTCAACTCAGCCAACTAAACGATTACCGTAAAGTGCCGTATACAAGATCCGGGTCTGTTACATTCCACCGATTTTTAAACCATATAATAGACCCCGGGTCTAGTACTCGCTGAGAGCTATATCGTGAAAAGAAAAAAATTTAAAGTGCATACACACCTTGTATTTACAATAGGCAGTCTAACTATTTGAAAAAAAACCGCATTGATTAATGTAGATTTTGTGGTTCGTGCCCGGGGCTAATTGCATGGTGGATCTACTATTTGAGAGGATCTTGTATATGGCACTTTACGGTAATCAATTTTCGATTCATATCGCTACCTAGTGTCACGGTTTCCCGTGACGTGAGATCGGGGCTGGGTTAAGCATTTAATTTATTTATTTATTATTTGTTTATTAGAAATAATGGCATAGATATTAGGGGCTAAATAGATTGCTGGCAAAATGCGCACAAAGGTAAAGCCAGAAACAGGAGGCTTTCCTTAGATTGCTGGCAAAATGCGTGCAAGATGGAAGCCCACCAAGGGTGGCTTTTAAAGATTGCGAGCAATCTATTCGCAAGTAAAGGAAAGTATTTTGGAAGAAAGATAGAGTTGAGATTAAAGATAGCGCAGTTGTTCTTAGTAAATTGAAATATATTTAAGCCCTGGGTTTCCGTCTTAGTTTCTTTAGACTTTGTCTCAAATGATGAATTAGAGACTACGATGTCTTAGTTATAGAGTTAAATAATAAGAATCGGATTCTCACTTGTGCAGTATTAGTTTATTGGTTTAGTTTATTCTTTTATTATTGTATTTTATTTCTTTATTGTCGCCTTGCATTTCTTATATTATTGTCACATAATAAATTACCCCCGAAAAATTATATTAAGTGATAAACCCCGAATCAGTTTAAGAGTTTCACGTGTACAAGTATTATAAATCCCGACACAAAGTGAATCATCGGAGCTAAATTGGATTAACATCCACAATTGCTCTCCCAACCGATGGTAACACTAGCATTATAAGTATTATAATATCCCCGGGGTTAGTATCATTAAATATAGCAGGCAACGTTGTAGTATTATGAACAATGTTTTTACTTAATTATATTAAAATTTTTAAAAGTTACTCATTTTAATGAAATGGGCAATTATTTTTGAATTCAGACCAAAAGGTTTAGAGTTGATCTAACTGAAATTGAGATTTTTATTGGATTGTATTTACAAGTGCGTGAGTTATTCGTAGTAAAAAATTTTAGCGTATGTTGACATACTATAATCTGGTACAGTTCTATATGCAGTAATTTTACATACGCTGATTTTCTGCTCTAATTTAGCTTTAATTCGGCTACAGTATCGCTATTACTAAATTATATCAAATAACGCATATCCGTATAATGTATGTGCATACGTACTAGAGTTGTTGGTGAAACTAAATTGAGTTGGTGAAACCGGTGACTATCTAAAATCTGATTGGCTGTTTACTATAATAGCCAATCAGATTTTAGATAGTCACCAGTTTCACCAGCTCAATTTAGTTTCACCAACAACACTAATACGTACTAAACTATTTTATATATAAATATTATATTTATCACAATAATCAAAATTTGATTAATTATTGATATTTACAAATCAAAAAATCGTCTCTAAGCCCCGATTTGATGTGAAAGGATCCATATATAAATTGGTCCGGGTTCAAAAATAATTATCCAAATAGAACCCTACACTTAAAATTATTAAAAATTTCTTATAAGTTTTAAAACAAATCAAGTGACTTAATCATCATATGTTACGATAATTGTGAGGTTTGTAAGAATAAGAGTTATTGTACCTATGAAATAAATGTCATTGTTGAAGCTAAAATTATTTAAAAAGATATAATAGATTTCGGGTTTATTTATTAGCCCCCACAACACCAATAGTTTAACATGATTTAAACCAATTTAAAATCATTAAAAAACATTTTTTACTACTCATAACTATTAGATATCTTTTTTAAAGCCAATTCCCTTTTAAAAAAATTTATAATTAAAATTTTCTTCTTTTTAGTTAGTTTATAGCTTTTTTGAAAACTTTTTTTTAGGCTATACAAACTTAATAAATTTGTTCTTATAACCCAGCTAGGTCAAAATTTACAGAATTTTAAAAAATTTTAACAATATTTACTATCTAGATAATTTTTTTAAAATATCTATATATGTTTTTTGTATATAAAATTTTTTTGAAAATAAAATTAAAAGCTAGTTGCCAGGTAATTTTTGGAATTTTATATTATGAGAACCAATGTAGCTTGTAATAAGTATTTTTATTAGTTATATTAACTTCTTTTTATTCTCTAGAATTAGAATTTCTATATATCTATTTAAGCAAATACAACTTGATTTATAATACTGGTTTAATTTTTTTCATTTTTGAATTTTACAAATAACTACCAAAATATTAACTCAAATTGGCAAGTTAATTATTTTACAACAATTAAACATATTAAAATCAAAAGAGATAGCAAGTAATATGACAGATTTCTGGGATATAATACTTAAAGACTATCAACTCAACAAATTTAACTATGACTACAACAACACTTACTACTTTGTGATTGTTAGAACAATGTGAAGTATTTATATAACTTAATAATAATTCTCTATAATTGCTTGCAGAGTATCTAGGGACAGTTATTTTTAAAGATAGCTTTTCTTGAAGCAAATCTCTTTATTTATAGTGATAATTTATTACATGTTTTTGCCAGAAAAGACTATTCTGGCATATTATATAAATCCTCCTTTTGCTATTTCAGTTCTCTTGTTAGATATAAAATTATCAAAGTTACATAGCCATGTGTTTGCCATCTGGTCACGTTTCTGGTCTGAAATATTAATCATTTATTGCAATATAAGTAAGTATTAACATTAATGTTAATTTGTATTACTTTGACTAAATATTAAAATTATGTATATATATTGTAAAGAGGCCCAGATGACTACAATTTTAATTTTTTTTTTTGTTTTATTCTATTTTTGTTTATTATTATTTATTTTTTTTACAAAGTTGAAACAGTATATAGTACTAAAAATAAGAATTT